CTCTCTTTTCTAGTCCCTTAACTGCCTCCATTCACCTCTTGTGTGCTGGAAGTGGCTCACCTCCTGTGTGCTTTTTTTTTTTTTTTTTTTTTTTAAATTTGTTACCAAGGATCGAACTCCTGTCCTTGAGCTTGTGAGGCAGGCGGCAGAACCACTGAGCTAAATCCCGGACTCTACCCCTTGACAGTTTTGAAGAAAAGTCATCAAGTATCTTTTAAAATGTCTCTTAATTTGGGTTTATTTGATATTTTCTCATGCTAGACTAGGATTATGGGTTTTAGAGACTAACCCAAAATAAAGTCCCCTTCTCATTGCATCATGTTTAAAGTGCATGGTATCCCCATGACTTATGACTTTAACCTTGGCTGGGAAGTTTCTCCCTGGTAAAGTTACTGTTTTCCCCTTTTCATACTCTAGTCTTCAGAAGCAAGTCATTAAGTTGAATCCAGAAGGAGGACCTGCATATATTTGAAGTTTTTCTGGAAGGAAAATTTCTCTCTTCCCTTTTATTTCTTCATTTTGTTGTTGTTTATCTTAGTGTGGACTCAGTATTTTTTATGTTGGGTTATAATCTCTTACCACATTATATTGTTCCTCATTGTAGTTTGGCTTCCTCTAGGTGATTTCCTGTGTCCCTTTAGAATGTCCCTATCCCTTCACTTTTTGAAAAGTCCTTATTTTCTGGCACTACAGGATGTTCCAGGCTCTTACTGTAATTTCTCTGCTCTGTTGTGGGCTTACCATTTCTCTCCGAAGAGTTCTGATCCCTTGGGGAGGAGAATGGTATTTAGGAGCCAAAATCTGGGTCCTGGCTATGCTCTTTGCTACTGAGGTAATGATTCCAGGTCCTCACAGTGGGTAGAGATGGGGGAGAGATGTATGTCTCCCTTAATATACTGGTTGATATTTTAAAATTATTGTATATTAAAGCTCTTTGTAATGTACAGTTTTAGGAGTTTTGACGAAAGCTGTTTTTTTATTAGTAGACAGACTTTTTTTTTAAGTAAATGTTGGCAAACTTCAAAGCTTGCAACAGATTACTTACAACACAGCTGATCTTGACACCAGGTTACGATCAGGTAGTCTTCCAAAGTTCTCTTTCTTCCACCATTCACTGGGCTTTCATTTATCATCACTGATTCCCAAAGATTTGTCAGGCCCCAGGTTGCATTACTGTTAGTTATTTTCAGGAGGATCTTGAAAGAAGAGCAAAAAGCATCTCTACCCCTGTTCATTGCCCATCCTGGGATTAGAAAGGTTATTTATAGAAAGGAGATTAGCAGGAGAGGAGCCAGTACTTGAACCAGTCTCACCCTGGCTGACCACTGCAGCCACCAGTTAGCAATAACGCTTGTAAGGGACCAGGTCACACATCATTGGGCACCAGACAAGCAATGTCAGCTCCACCTGGGACAAGGTTAGAAATGCACATCCTTGTTGGGCATGGTTCA